CGCTCTCACTTCTGTAAAGACGTGGTTGAGCGAGAACTTCTCCATGAAAGACTTAGGGGATGCTAGTTATGTCCTTGGCATAAGAATCTACCGAGATAGATCAAGAAAGTTAATAGGTCTGAATCAAAGTACATATATAGATAAAATCCTTGATCGATTTAGCATGTCTAACTCAAAGAAAGGATCTTTACCTATGACACCTGGCACGGTTCTTTCCAAGAGCTAGAGTCCTTCTACTCCCGAGCAAAAGGAACTCATGATGAAGGTTCCATACGCCTCTGCGATTGGATCCATAATGTATTCCATGATATGTACTAGACTTGATGTCTTATTCGCTTTAAGCATGACCAGCAGATACCAAGGAAGTCCAGGAGAAGCACACTGGGCAGCGGTCAAGAACATCCTCAAGTATCTTCGCAATACTAAGGATGCATTCCTGGTATACGGTGGTGAGGAAGAGCTAAAAGTGGTCGGTTACACTGAAGCTAGCTTCCAAACCGACAGAGACGATTCAAAATCACAAGCAGGATATTTGTTTTGCCTGAATGGCGGAGCTTTTAGCTGGAAGAGCTTCAAGGAGGATACAACCGCCGATTCGACTACAGAGGCTGAGTACATAGCTGCCGCCGAGGCAGCAAAAGAAGCTGTTTGGATCAAGAAGTTCATTACTGAACTTGGATGTTTGACTTAGTCTCATGGTCAATGACGGTGTGTTCGCATCCGCACATGGGCAGATATTATCTAGAGATAATAGGATCCCGGACTGACCCATTCTAAAGATGTTGCTTGAATTTTTAGTTCATGCTCTAAGCATCTTTAGCGCGACCACGGGTGTAACTATCCTTCGACTTGAAGTATTACGTTTTCTGCATATGTGAACCCGCATACTTTGATGCATTGTCCAAAGCCATATGAAATAAGGATGGTATACAGGCTTTGTTTTGGGTATGCCGCAGCGCGTTTTCAGAAACGTAGATTACGTACATAGGATTTGTCACTACTCTTTTTAAAGAGATTAATGTCTTATGGGGCCCACTGATAAGTTATGACTAAGGAAATTGCATGGCCATGCTAAGATGCTTTTATGATGTCTGTTCCTATTAGTCAGACTTGATAAATCAGTGAATGACTTAATGGATACAAGCTGGATTTTTTTTAATCCCTTGCATTAAGTTTAGACATTGAGACAAAGGGATATAGTTACACGGAGTCTAAGTCGTGGAAAGGTTTTGACGGTGCAAACGTCTTAACTTATAATCTGGGGGCAATAATGTGTTGCTAGATACCGCTTATTGCTTATAGTATCGGTGCAGAGCCAATACTGTGGCCAGGTTTATAAGTGCCTATACGGGTCACACACTTTGAACAATTTAAGGAGTAGGATTAAACAATGGGATAATAAGTGATTTGAATATTTGTAAAATAGTAAAATAAAATATTTTGGAATATAATACTATATATATGTGAAACATTCGGTGATATATTTACATATATAAATACCGATATATATATATATATATATATATTATATGTTGAATATTTTATTTTGGTTTGTCATTTTAATTATGAAAATAATTATTTTGACATAAACTAATTAAAGTATATATGTATACTTAATTAAAAATGATATGGGTATTTTATTTGATTTTAAATTAATTTTATATTAATTTTTGATGTCAAATAAAATACACTTTAAACATTTGAGTGGAGAAGAATTTCACAAATCCTTCTCATATCATTGTTCGGCCAAGTGGAGATTTTAAAGGATCAAATATCCATGATTGAAATTAGTGGAGCTAATAATGTTTTAACCTTTTGCTTAATGACAAAGTATGATTAATCAATTTGTAATCTTTGTTTTAAATAACACGGCAATTTCATTTTAATGGGAGGAGATCATCAATTGATTAGTTTTGGAATACTTTTAGCCATAATATTTTCTAGTGAGATAAAATATTTTTTTTTGGTTCCACATATATCATTTTGTGTATAGAAAATATCTATAATATTTTCTAAATATTATTGGAAATATTTTCTATAGAAATATACAAGATTATTATTATCCCAAATTTTGATCTTTATATTTTATACTACTATAATCTTTACTAGGATAAAGATTGTGGTAGACTTCGGCGTTGTTCGTGTGTCAAAGTTGGAGACCGGATGCTTGAACGGTTACGTTTGCACTTTCAACGCTCTTCCTACGACTTCTTCGTTTCTACCGCTTACGGAGAAAGGTACAAATTTCTTACTACTATAAGTTTTAGTACGTGATTCTGGGCAAGATAATCATGTTAGGATGTTAAAATTTTTATATTCCGCTGCCTATCCTTGCATGGTTACCTTTCAACGACGAGTTTGCAAATCCTGAGAGATTAGACTTAGAATTGCATCTGTAACTTTCCTCATGTAATCTAAGTTGCACTCATGTTGAAATAATATCGTCCTTGAACATTACGAGTTAGTCATAAATATTATTCTAAGCTGTATAGTCAGTGTAGCTACATTTTCTTCATTCTTTAGTCTTTCACTGTTGGTGTTACTGTTTTACGTCTCGTTCTGTATTGTCACCATGTCGCGATCTTTTACGTCAAACGAATCAATTGATTTGTTTTGTTAGCATCACTTTACTTCACTTATTCAATCAGGTTACATCGACGTTTTTGACGATAAGCAATTAAGTCATTAATCGCTTCATGAAAGGCATCAGTTTTTTTAACAAGGTCGAGCTGTCTATAGCTTCTAACAAACAGGTTCTTCGAACAAATCGTCTATACGTAGTGAAGGGTAGCGATTCTTGTTTGTCAGTTTGTCCATTTTTCATAACAGGGATTTGAAAGTATTCTGACCGTAAGTCAATCTTAGAGAACACAATGGATCCTCTAAGCTGATCAAATAAGTCATCGATACGAGGTAAAGGATAACGGATTGTTCAATTGACAGTAGTTGTTACAGAATCTCATTGATTCACGTATAAATAGAACGGGTATTCTCCTAAGGAGGAAATACTTGGTGAAATGTTTCTTTGTCAGTCAATCTTTATAGTCGAGTATTCAGTTTGACATAAACATATTTAATGCAGAGTTACGAATATTGGTCCTCTTTGGGATCAAGATTGGTAGAGAAATTCCATTTCTCGGAACGGTGAAATATTAGGAAGTTCATATCAGAGAGGTGACATACTTTCGGTACGTTCCTTTAGTTCAGATCTTTCTTTCGCGTATCACACGAATAGACTTCACGCTTCTTATGGTTGAGACATTTTTGCATATATATTCGAGATGAACTCGGTTGGTTAAAAAATCAGCTTTGCTTTCACCTCTTATGATGTTACCATCATTGGCCTTAAGTTGAGGAATTCTTCATCAAAAGTTGTCAACAACAACGACGTTCAGTGAGTCAGTGCATACTAAGGATAATGTCGATTTCCTTGTATGGTACTTCAACGAGGTTTTGTAAGGAATTGTCGTTTAACAAACGATTTCGATTCATAAGATGTAATCACATCTTTGCGTCGTAAAGAGTTAGACATCAGAATAGGATACTTTAGATAACAGAGTTTATTGATTCTAAACGTTCGTGTTTAAATCAACGAACATATCATCTTGAGTCCACATGAGGATCTTTGACATCGGCTTCACAGATGTTGTTCAACATTATTCGTTTCTTCAGAGCCATCTCACTTCCATGCGACTTTACGAGGCAGATCAGTTTCGTAATTCGCGATGCGATGCATACGTTAATAACGGATCAGAGGGTCATATATTTTTCGTTCATTCTTTCGTCTCTTCACCGAGTACAAAAATTTCTACTTGAGTCTACGCTCGATATAATTTTAGAACTAACAATTTTTATTTAATGAGAATTCTAACAGAGTCAATATTTACCAAGTAAATTCTCATACCTTTCCTGGAGCAGAGGGATGCGAGAGTCGTGGATGTGATTGACATTTTATTGTTATTATTTTTTTAAAATCAAATTTCGATCCGAAGATCGGTTTTAAAACAATTGCTCCGATACCAAAATGTAACACCCTAATCCGTCCAGGTCTGCAACCCCTTTCGGACTAAAGTATTAACTTGGTAATCGTAAAATTTAAAACTTTTCAAACACTTTTATTTATCACGATAATATTTTTCATAACATATACAGTGCGGAGTTTTCAATATTGCGGAAGCTTAACAAATCATAATTACAAACATAATTTATTTATGTTCTTTAATTCAAAACCATCACATCCATTCCGACAATCTCGCCTCCGTCTGCCTCCAGAATCACGTCACATCATTCTTTCTATTAACCTGCGTGTAGCAAATAAAACATACTACATGCTCAGCGGTGAAGATGAGTAAGCATATCTAATGCGTCGAACATCCATATAAATTGAATCCAAATTCATAATCAAATCATTTGATATCATGCACTGAGTATTCAGTTCAAATATACAATAATCAATATTCAACATTCGTCATTCAATATTCATATTCAACATTCAACATCCTCATTCAATAATATCCTTAAACTATTCTTAGTCTAAGGCCAATCTATTTGATGTTTACCAACTCTTAAACGAATTCTAGTTTAAGATATTTAAACTATATTCGAGTTTAAGGTACTCTTAACTAACCCTTAAGCTAGGCCTAGTTTAACATACAAATTTTCAAAAAGAGGTTTTCAAAATCTTAAACTTACCTTCGCTTAAGGTCATCCAGAAATCGAACATCGGAATGCTCACTGTCGTGTTGGGTGGTATCCCCAAACGA